AGAAAGGCTGTCAAACAGCTTATCCAAATATAATTACTTTAACCAGCATGACCAGTAACTATTTTATAAAGCGCTTGTCTTCTGTTTTATAGCCTTTTGCACCAACGTCTACACAATTTTAAAGGCTTGCTGTTTGAACCATTTTTTTCCCCACAGTATATGTAATGTAATGTAGTAGGATTATGATATTGTTATTAAGTATTTCTAATGCCTACAGAGAAAAATCTCAGTTACAATAATTTTGGAGCCAAAAGCAAGGTTGCCAAAAGGCTCATTAAAACTTGGACTTAATCTGGAATTAAATACATCAAAATTGAATTAAACAAATTGTAGATGTGGCAAATGTCGAAAATCTGACACTGTGTTTGCAAACTGAATTTGTTGCATTAATATCAAATTGTGAGATTCCCAAATGGCAATCCACAAATCTCAAGCCAATGATGTTTGGAAAAAAAAGTACACGGTCCTTTATTTGAACTTTGCTGGCTCGGGATTTGTGATTCGCTGTTTTGAGAATCTAGCCGTGAATCTCACGGTCCGATACCCACAAATCGGGATGACTCAATTAACGCATCGAATAACACACTTTCATCTTGAATGTTTCCCTGGTCAAAATATTTGAAACATTTCTGATGTTTCTATGTTATTGTTCAAATTTAATATTGAGTAATAACAAGAGACATGGGAAAAAAATGAATGAGACATACTCTCACGGGTCAGAGCTGTGAAGGGGAGTGGGTCTGTGGGCCTAAGATTCCTCTACTACTGTAAATTTAAATCCCATATAATTAGTTTGTTTTCCTCAACAAAAAAGCCTTTCATGTGCCAACACGTGGAATACTTTAAAAACTAATAAGCAGTCAAATGTAAGCAATATTTATGCCGCTCAGCAACAAATCAAAAAGTAAGGAAAAATAATTTAAGAAATTCAGAGATTTCTGCTGGAAATGCACAATTAATTTCTTTAGACGATTGATGCGATTTTAATGAAACACGGTATATCATGTTTCATAATACAGTAACAATAAATGCAAACATTACGATTGAAAAAAATGGAACAGGTGCTGTAAATCTGCCACACTGCACTCATCTCGTGCTAATTATATGTGGAATGGTTTAGTTAAAAATGTCTTTCCTCATTAAATGATAGATTATCCAGCAGTCATAAAGCGAGTTGCAGCTAAATATTCCTCAAGAGAATATCGGCCTGTGGTTTGCTCCAATGAAGATGAAAGACAAGTTAAAGAATGTCTATGATCAGCTCATGTCAAATATCAAATGGCTATAGTGGTCTTCCTTAAAAGCATTGCACTGAATTTGAAATATCGCTGTCCATCACAGAATAAAAGTGACGTATTCAGGAAATAAGTTGAAAGTTTCACTGCTATAAATTATATCGAGAAAATTATGCCAGTAATGATGTGTTTCAGGGGCCTTTTCACAAATGTGAAAGGCCCATAAGTGCCGTAGGCTTCTGTAATTTATGAGGCTCTTTCACAGAAGTGAACAATTATGCAATGGCACAATGTTCCATTAAAATAAATGCAGTTTGAAACATGTCACGCAATACAGGCTGCTAAGTAATAACTAATTGTGACTAGAAATCATTTCTACTTTGACTGTAGTTAGTTATGTTAGGTTTGTTGGAATATAACTATCTGTTCACGGATTAGAATTGTTTTGATCATTTTCAGATTCTGCAGAACAATAATAATCCTTGCATTTGATACAGCACTTTATCACGTCTTCGAGACGTCTAAAAGCGCTTCACAGAATATACTGTTAAGTGAATTGACTGTGCATTTTGTAGGCAAAACGGGACAGCCAATTGCGCACAGCAGTGTCTCACACACAGTCGTGGAATGAGTGACCAAATTATTTTTTTAAAAAAATTTAAAAGTGCATGTGCTTATATAATCAGCTGTATCTGAACTGGGTTAAATCTGGAGGAACAAACTCAAGTACAGCCATTACACCTAAATTTAAGGTCAACACTGTGTTGAAATAGTGGACAATTTTCTTTTGTGTAAAGTAAATTAAAATAATCTGCAGCAACATTAGGTCCCGGTTAAATGTTAAGTGTAAAAAAACCTAAAATAAAAGGTTCACATGGACATTTGTGTTTATAGCAAGGAAGTTTTTCCAAATTACATTCTTCCTCTAAGTACTTAGGGGGTCCCTGGGTGCATACAAACCGTGACCAAGTGGGTAGGCAATTTGCTCCCATGCCTCTGCCAATGCTTATATTGGCTGCCACAAGGGTTTCGAGACCATCCTGGTAACCTGCCTGCTTCCAATTTCCTTTCCACAGTTGTGAAGCATGTATTCTCCACTTGGTGCCTCTCACAGTAGCGTGGCTAAGATTGTGATTGTGATCTATTGAGTGACAGATATGCATCCACATAAGCTGCCATGACTCACTCTCACGCTCTTGGAAGGCTGATATATTTTGGCCATAAGCAACCTCTACCCTAGAAAGCCACTTCCTACAGCAGCACAAAGTTTTTTTTCGTATATTTTCTAAATCAGTCACTTTGAGAACCGGCCTGAATGACCATTGATTGCATCAAACTCTGGGCAATTCTATACTATTGATTGATACTCTGGGAATGGAGTTAAGAATGCCAACAGTAATAATGCCAATGAAAGGCAAGAAGCAATCTATTTCCACATAATATTAATAATCCTTGCATTTGATTTGATGCCTTACCGCGTCAAAATGTCTCAAAGAATTTCACTGTGAATGGTAATGACTGTATATTTGTAGGCGAATGGGAAAGTCAATTTGCACATGGCAAAGTCTCACAAACAGCCATTAACTGAATGATCATTTTTGGCTAATAGATGGCCAGGATATTTTCGAATTGTGCTACAGCGTCCACGTGAACAGGCCAACAACGGGACCTCAAGTTATCATCCTATCCATAGGACAGTACCTCTGATGATGCTGCACTGCCCACCTAATGCAATATTTTGGATTATGAGTTCATAGACGCGATGTAGGGTCATCTAAAACAAAGGTCGTCTCGGGCCAAGAAGCTCTAGGATTACAATCTGATGAAATTCCTTGTTCTTTTTTTAAAAGACTTAAATACTTTATGAGAGCACTAAAACATTACACCTCAAAGCATTAAAACACCCATGTAGTTCATTTAGAAGATTACAAGAATGACACTTTGAAGCACTTTGGGACATCTCAACAACGTGATGAGGCGCTATATCAAATACAAGGATTATTATTTATCATAAATTCATAAAAAAATATTTTTTCAATTTGTCTACACCTTCACGCCGGAATTATACAGTATAAGTACTACAAGCCTGTGAGAGAAGAAAAGTCAGATAGTGTGAATGGATAGCAGAAGAAGATACAAATACTGTATTCCATATTCAAGCTGATACCATTGTTTAAACATCTGGATGGCTTTGTTATTTAAAGGCTCGAATCATTAAGGCCCCGTTTTTAATGTTTATATTCTTTTTATTTAGTCAGAGGATTAAGGTTAACAGTTTTACAGTAATAAATTTGTCTTGATGTTTAAGTAGTTTTTTTATCTGCAAGATTAGGTTGTTTTAAGTAGTGTCACAATGCTTGAATGAAGTTGTAGAGATTCAGTCAGTCCATGGAGAAAGGAGGCTGCCTGGATTTGCAGAAATTTAATTCTTAAAACATAACTTTAACTTTCCATGTTATTTATAGAGCTAAATCTTGAGCAAATTTAGATTTAAATTATAGGCAAGCGCTAAGGGTTTGGACTTTCAACTTTCATCAAACTGACCAGATAGGACAAAAGAGCAGGGATCTTGCCCACAAATTGCAACAGAGAGTAGATTTCTTAGAAAAGTGTAGTCGCTGTGTATTTGTAGGTGAACTCGAAAGACAATTTGTGCACAGCAATGTCCCACAAACAGCCATGAAATGAATGACCAATTTTGTTTTGCAGGGAGAAACTTCTTTCTCCTTTCCAATAGTACCACAGGATCTTTAATATTCACCTGAATAGGCAGATGGGGTCAAAGGCGTCTGACTCAGAGGTGAGAGTTCTACCAACATAGCCAGGCTGACACTTGACAACTATCAAATGATGCACACCATTGTGAAATGGTAGCCAGTTTCAGGCAATCGTTTCTTTGCGGATAACCGTATGACTCATTTTATACTCAACACCTACAGATTTTTCACACCCGAGGGGGGGAGGGATGGGGTGGTGGTGGGGGGGAAAACTGCTGCTCATCATTCTTACCGCCATTGTTGTTGCTGTGTGAAAATACAACAGTATTTGTGGTCATCGTGAAGCATTTTCTGCCCATTTCCAAAGAACAGCCCAGGTGATGATTAACCGCTGCTGGCCTTTACAATTCCGAATCCGAAAAACAGGCTGAACTTTTTTTTCATGCACTTCATCAACTTGCACACATCCCCTGAGAAATTCATATGATGTTTTGTGTAAACTAGTTCCCCTAGTGCTGATTGCAAGGAACTGCCAGGTGGCATAAACTCCTCAGGCGGGTTCAAGCCTTTTCAACCTAATGCACCACGGAAAGAATAATGGGCCAATTAAATGATTTTCAATTGCGCCTCTGCAGAGGTCACGTTTCACAAATTTTACATTTACTGTAACCTGACATCTAGTTCCCCCTTTAGTACCTAAATAACCTACTTCCTAAAAGCACACTGAACAAAAAGGAAGATTTTTATTTCTATGTGGATTCAGCCTTGAAACTCCCCCCACTGCCCAGATGTGAACATTTCTGGAGGCATGAAGTACATTTTTCTGCCACGAATAGAGCGGATATGAAATACCTAGTACAGGATAAAGACTTGTGATATAGTATGGAAGGAAGAAAAGCCTCTCTGAGTTCATAGCTCCCTCTGATGACCATGTGGACATCTGACAAAGGGAACCTCATTTCTTTCTTTGTTCGTGTAACCAACTGACAGCTGACTGGCTAAGATCTAATTACTTCCAAGTGAGGTCAGGAAAAAGCATTTATCGAACAGAACTGCACAACAACAGGCTCAAGATGCCCAGAAAATCCCTCTCGTGTTAACACTTGATTTATGGAAACAATTATGATTCAGTTGGAATCTTCCTGGACTGGGAAATAGTCCACATTGATGCTCCGGCTGATGATGTGAGGGAGAAAACAATGGAATTCTTTTACGCACAACTGTATTCAATAAAAGCAAAAGTAAGTTTTATACACAACCTTTGCCTGCTATTATACTATCTGCACTAAAATGTTTTGCTGTTAAAAAAAAGTTTTCGACCAAGCTGGCTAGAATTAAGAATGTACGATTGACACTGAGGTACTTCTGAATGCTTCCAGCCGGTCTAGACATCTAAACAATAATTTTGTGTGGGAAACATGGGAAGTTCCATCGAAAGCATTTGGTTTACCGCACAAATGTGCCGGGATTACTAATGCATGAATGTATACCGGATGACAAATTAAAGCAGCAGTGGGATACTAGCATGGAACACACACCATGCAGTAAGCACCGCGTTCTTCTGTCTGTCAGTAAAAAAAATCTTGAACTGCAGTTCCCAGTAGGGTTTACTGTACGTTTTGGCTCCAGCTTAATATTTTTTAAATTAGTTGGCGACCGACGAGAGCTTCCTTTTTTTTTTAAAAAGAGGGAAAACTTTTGGGGTACACCTCCAACTTTGTTGCGAAGGTTGTAATTGATTTGTAACAGCTGACTGTGATGGCTTGTTAAATTTAAGTGATGCTTCTACTTGCAGCTCTGTTATTGTCAAAGCTCTCAGTACAGAAGGAAAATTCGGGTAGGGAAGAAGATCAAGACGCTCAAGAACACTGCAAACTGATTTGTTTATAGTGGAAATTGACAGTGCATCAGTTTTTGAAAGAACCCTGGCTCAGGACCATAAACGTTTCCAGGGAAGCTTACACACATTCTAAAGTGCAAGCACCACAAATAAAAGAGACCCAGCGAGGCCACGGAGCCCAGGCAGAAGCTGAGATCGCAACCTAGCAGCATTCATCTGATCTGTACTTTAAATTGCAGTATGTTGTTCATGAGTACCCAGAGCAGTGCACTATAATGCGCAAATGGATGCTAACATGGATCCTGCCAACTCTGCTGTACAGACTGTACTTTCATTGTATGCTTCTAGTAGGGAGTGTGTCTTTTGCCTGCAATGACATGACTCCAGACCAACTCGCTGCAAGTGTGAACTGTTCCTCCAGTCCTGAGCGGCACACCAGAAGTTACGACTACATGGAGGGTGGAGATGTAAGAATAAGGAAACTTTTCTGTCGGACGCAGTTTTATCTGAGAATTGATAAGAAGGGCAAAGTCAAAGGTACAGCGAATTCCAACTGCAATTACTGTAAGTAACACTTTCATTCACGGGGATTTAGCACCTTGGACGTTTTTTTTCACAAAGTAAATGAGTGCACGATTTCAACTAGTTTGGCTGCTTTTATACGGCAAACGGAAAATCCTTCTTAAATAATCTGTGCCAGCTCCCAACATCTGGTATTCGTTTTTTTTTAAATGTGTAGCTCTTAGCGGTACGTAACCAGCATATTTTAGTTCTGCTAATATATTAGTTGACAGCTGGTAAACGTTTGCAAAAATTATCCCTTTTATTCAAACTGACAAGGGACAGAGATATCAGATAACGCTTTGGACTCAAGTAAAAATCATGAGGGTTATCTACATTCTGTGTAAATTGACATTTTGAAAGTAGACGCCTAAGAAAGTGGGGTTCTGTGATGTTTGTTGCTTTGCCTGCTCGCCTTTGAATGCTTCGCTACCTCAGCGGGAAATTTAAAACAATTCAACAATGAGCGCCTTGTACCAAACGGATAATGTAACGTGCGTTTTAATCCATATTAATTTGCTTCTTCTTAACTCAAATTAAAGCGGGATTAGAGTTGATTCTATGAACATGCAGTAAAACCTTAATGACAACATACTTACTCAAACATTCTGACACTATTAACGGCTGGTTAGAAAGACTTGACTTGTGACACTGTCTCTGTGATCCTGGATCTAAACTATTTCAGGAAATATATAAATTGTATACAGTTTAAGCTTTTTTAACCTTTTTTAAAACTATGATTGCATCTGGTACATTGAAAAGAAGGGACTGCTACTGCAGCTTATGCAGTGCAACCTGCTAGATACGAATGATTATATTACAGCTTGCTTATGTCACTAACAGCTGTAGATTTTGCAATGGATCACAAGCATAATGTTGCAGCTACAGTTTCACCCCTTTCCAAATAACCAAATAAAACCCCGCACATCATAAAAATGCTGAAAACAATATTAGGCAAAAATGCTAGTCAAGCGAAATGCTAATCTCTATTTCTTTTGACCTATTAAAATGCTCTTTAGGATGCTCTGTGGCAGAACGCACAACGCTGAGAAAGCTGGATAGTCTGTTGCATTGTTTCTCACATGGAACAAATAAGCAATCTTACCTTTTGTCAGTATGCTTCAGTTTTTATTGTCCTGTGCTCATAAATTGAGTTTTGATCATGAGTAGGTGCTCCTGAAAATGTTCCTAACCAGTCTCCCAAGGTCAAACCTTAGAGTATTCAAGGTTCAAATCAGTCTTTAGGTGTTAGCACTGAATTTGCATATTTTTCGGGAGTTGAGCCCAATAAAACCACAGCCTTGCTTCTAAGCAAATCCTTGGAGGGACATGTGGCAAACAAAAGTACCAAGACAAACAGTGAAGAAATGAAGAGAGCGAAAGAGAACAAGTAAAAGTAATAAATTAGAAAGGGAAGCATTGTATTGCCAAAACTCCAAGGAGCAACAATTAAATAAGTCAAATAAAATGAATGGCTTGTGGGAGAGACAAGAGGCAGAGGTCAAAAAGGGAAACAAAGGGAAACGGATCCAGAAACTGATAAACTCACACGCACGTAGAAAAATAAAATATAAGGATGAAATAAAATAACACCCAGATGCTCTGATCAATAGTATGTGCTTTTCGCAATGATTGCATGTTTTTAAAATAATGATATTCAATGCTTCCGCATCAATATAGAAATCAATTCTGACTGCCATTACCACCCAAGTGTTCTGTTGCTCATTTGTCCTGTGATTTTACAATTCCATTCCCTATTTGTCTCCCTCCCCCTCCTTCCCTCACCCTTTGCCCCATGAAGTTAGCTATTCTCAAGCCTCAGCCCACGGATGTCTCCCTAGAGCTCATCAGTAGTGCATTTCCTTAGTCAACTTTGCCAGGGAACAGTATTTTGAAAATTGCAGGAAGGATCCTCTCGCTGGGCAATTTTATTTTGTCTCAAGAAACAGAGAAACTCTTGCAGGTTATAGGAAGTTAAAGTGTGAATGTCAGTCCAGCTTGTTGCTTCTTTTGGATAGTTGGAAGCAATGCAGCATCATTTTAAGTAGTCTCACAATTTCAGGGTGGGAAAGCTGATTTATTCTGATCCTCTCCAAAACAAAACACACTTGCCAGGAGCAGAGGGTTGCTCTGTGAGTGTGCAACTAAGCACTACTAACTGCTAACAGAGCTCCACTCACCAGCGCCAAATAAACTGCCCACGAACCTTTAAACTTGTTTATTTTAAATGTTCATTGGATTTACGCTGCAGCTAATGGTACTGATTTGATTCCGAATACCACCTCCTTGAGATTTCAGGAGTAAGGTTCGAAATCAAATTATGCCACTGAAATTGGATTCATATTTGTAGCTAAAGTAGGTGCTAAAAATACACTATGATTTGAGCATAACTTCCCATTTTACGTCTCCTCAGTAAGATGAGAGTTCAGAAAACCCCAGTAGAGCCTAGTTGGTTTTGCCACCACTGACAGTAATAATCCTTGCATTTCTTATGTTTCCTATGCATTGATGTCAGCACAAAGCCAACCTTGACAGTGCACCAACACAAAGCGAATTGAATTATACAAGAAGACATGCCATGCAATGGGACACCTAAAAAGACCTCTGGCATTGCACATTGGTTTCAGGGCGACTTTGGTTATGTCAGTCCTGGACGATGAGTGGATTTGGTTAGCAGTCAGCGACTATGAGCGGCACTCCATGCATACTTTTGAGAATCTCCCATTGCTTGCTAGGTAGGGCAGTGCCGCACAGATATTTCCCGTGACCTAACTTGGGCTACCGTAACCTTAGTTGGGCAAGTGATAGCTAATGTTTGAACATTTGTTTTAAAGGACAGAGTTTTAGGTAAGAGCATTGTTTGGGAAAATGTTCAGTGCTAGGAGAAACAGTGCAGGTGTTGACCATAGGTATTTCAGGCAATGCTTCCAAACACAGAGCTACAATACTGTATAGGTGAAAGTTAGAACATTACTTGTGATAATGGGCGTCTGAATTGCCAGCAAAGTTTAGGCAAAGGACAGAGTGGGCACATCTCTCACATGTTGCTAAGGAGCTCTGGCATTAAATGGCCTAATTACATCAGGTCAACCAGCTTTAAGATACATTGAGCCCAGGGAAAGACATGGTGATTTATCAGTTCTGTCTATATCTGCTGGCAGTGATTTGGTTGCTGCCTGACTTTTAGGTGAGTGGATTTAAGCACTAATTTGTCACCAACGAATTGAGCAAAAATCATTTTTGATGTTATTAATGAAGGTGAGAAACCGAGTGAGGCTAAGCTCTTCTTTAAAGAAACTTGTGTTCAGAAAATGAATATCACTTATTAATACCACAATATACATGGTCAAAAAACACTTTATTGTATATCCCGTGAAGCTCTTTGAGAAGTCATGAGGACATGATAAGGCGCTATATTAAATGCAAGGATTAATTATGTTTGGGTCCTTCGAAAAAGCTGTCTGTCGAGATCTGCAGGTCACCAGATATACCACAAGAGGTCAGGTTCTCAACAAGGCCGCTCTAACAAACCGTTCAAGAACGGCTGAGAGCGACTGCGCTATATTTAGGTTGTCCATTGAGAAAAATCACTGAATTTCTGAGCCATAAGATTGAGTCACAAGTGAACAAATTTACTATGAAGCCAAACTGGCAACTCAACATTTGTTGGCTGGTTGGTGGTGGTGCAAAAGCTTCTAATTCGTTTTTGCGGCTGTATAATAAGTGAACCTAATACAGTAGTTTGTTCAGCTGGCAGAGGACACATAAAGCATGATTATACCCACATTCGGTAGGGCTGACCTCGGGATTAAAAAAATGCAATGTTTCTTAAAAGATTCAATACCTCAATCTGAAATGAAATTCAGTATCAGACTTTTTACCCCCTCATCAGAAAGGCAGTCCAGCAGTATCTGCAACAGAGGTTCTGTTGGTTGAAACAGTGCTATAATAATTTATTCTGTTGCATGCTGCAGGTGCAATTGTGCTGTAAAATGCGCTGGATATTAGAAACAAGTGCTAAATTATTGGAACGGTATTTTTTGGACTCAGCGGCTGCTGTTGGTATTGAGTCCAGTAGCTTACTTACAAAGAGCTGAAAAGTGCAAACATTCTCGGCTACAATAATAATCTTGCAGTTGATAAAGTGCCTTATCAGGTGGATGAGATGTCCCAAAGTGCTTCACAGAATATGTTGTAAAATGGATTGACTGTGTACTTTGTGGGCAAAACGCAGCAGTCAATGGACTGGATTTAAACAATGCTGTGGTTTCTAATTAGCAATCCGTTATACTAAATCTAACTTTTGCAACTCATTTCCTACAGTTAGTTTGGATGAAAACGTTTTGGTTTCTTTAAACAGGCTCTAAGCTTCCAATTACTTGCACAATTTTTCAGTTAGTTTAATGCGGGGATTACGTTCATAAAGTAAAAGTTTAAATCTCAGGTTAAAAAAAAAATGAGTAACTCGCTATTGACTTTCTCAAATCAAATATGCTCAGGACATACAGGCAGTGTGAAGCATCCCTTTCACATGCTTAATTTGAAGTGGTGGTTCACTTTTCAAGGCTGCTGTCAACGGCATCTGGAGCTACTCTGCTACACCTGCTGCTGGATAATTTTTCCCAGTTAATTTTATGTGGTAATTCGGGTTATTCTGGGTATCAGCCTGGCTCAATTGGTAGCACTCTCGCCTTCGGGTCAGAAGGTTGTGGGTTCAAGCCCCGTGGTGGGACTTTGAACTCACAGTCTGGGCTGACACTGCAATTCAGTGCTGGCAGAGCACTGCTTTGTTGGAGGTGCCGTCTTTTGGACGAGACGTTATATTGATGTCTGTTGTTCTGATGGACATGGCACTGTTCAAAAAGAGAAGGGAGTTTATTCCGGTGTTCGGGCCAATAATCCCTCAGATAAAAGTGGACACTTCACAAACAGTTGTTTATGAAATGTTACGGTGCGCAAATCAGCAGTTGTGTTCTCCTACAAATACACAGCCACTACACCTT